AATAAAATCGATTAAATAAATAAAACAATGAACCAACCAACAAGTCAAAATTTTAAACTCAGGCATGGTAAAAACACAGTAAAAAGACTAGCAATAAGTTCTGAATCTATGCTAAAAGAGAACTAAGTCAAAGACTTATGGGAATTGTGGCATTATTAGAATAGAATAGAAATGTTACAATCCTTCACATTGTAAAATTCATAATTAACTGATAAAATTTTGGAGCTTGGGAAAGAGGGACAGCATAGGTCAGTTCTAATTTTTTTTTTCTAGCTTTCACAGGAGAGTGTCTCATAAACTCATAGTTTATGAGAAATTATTCTAATTTCAGTATTTATCATCTTCTGTCATAAATTTAGTTTTTAAAAGATAGCGCTAATCTCTCTTGCAATGAAGTCAGCATTTCTATCTTGCTTTAGTTTCTTTTCCTTTGCTTTAATTAAAGTCTTTTATTTTACACCTTTAAGTATTAAATACCATGTATGATAAGATCCCATGCCCATGGCAAGTTCTAGACAGGGCTTGCAAAATGTTACCTGTATGATAAGATCCCATGCCCATGGCAAGTTCTAGACAGGGCTTGCAAAATGTTACCAACATCATTGGCCAGGCACAGTGGCTTATGCCTATAATCCCAGCACTTTGGGAGGCTGAGGCAGGAGGATCGCTTGAGCCTAGGAGTTTGAGGTTACAATGAGCTGTGATTGCGCCACTACACTCCAGCCTGGGTGACAGTGAGACTCTCTCTCTCTCAAAAAATAAATTAATTAATTAATTAATATTATTTCTAAACGGTAAGATTTAGGGTGAGGTTTTTCATTTCTTCTTTTTACTTTTTTGTATTTTTTTTTTGTAATAAAAATGTATCACTTCTTCCCAAACAAGTCACTTTTTAATGATAAAGAACAATCTTATCATTACTACCTAAGAAATAGACTTTATTGCTTTTGCTCTTCTTCATTGCTGCCAGCCAGGCAAAAATCTAAACCTAAGTCTACTCACTTATTATTTTTCCTTTTATTCCCCACTTCACAGCGGATAAAACTGAAATCCAGGGTAGTTAAGTCATTTGCTCTAGGTCACAGAGCCAGGATGTGACCTCAGACAGTCAAGCTTCATAACATGTGAGCTGACAGAATTATTGAAGTTCATTTGGTTCATCCCAATTTTTTCCTTCACTTAGTAGGTACATGTGGTCCTAAACCAGCAGGGAGAAGTGCTATCTGCAATGAAATGGCCATACTCACGCATGTCTGGTGAATGTACATACAATACAACTCTTTCAGAAAGCAGTAAGAGCGAAATTCTGTCTTAAAAAAAAAAAAAAGAAAGTTGAAAATGCTTAAACTCTAATTCTTGTAGGAATCAAACCTAAGAAAACAAATGTAAAGACAGGGAAAGGTATATAAATGAGGGAACACATAATCTAACAACAGAGTATTAGGACAATAATGCATGATAGAATCATACAATTGATCATTATGCAGGCATTAAAATGCACATTATGGAGAAATACTAAGGAACAGGGGAAAATACTTATCAAGTGAAGACAGCTCACTAACATTCCTCATTCAACACAGCGGACTGCACTCAGGCATTCAGCCCTATTCCCTCCCAAAATCCCACTAAAATGATAAACATTACTTTACAAAGGCAGATTCCCACCAAAGGAGCCAGAAGAAAGAGACACCAGAGAAAACAAGAACATCAACAATATTTTAGAAGAAAGACAGTGAACTGAAAAATATCAACTAACTTGGAAGAAGGCTGAAACTGAAGGCTGCAGAGGGAGATGACAAGCAGCAGCACGCCAATTTCAAGACAAATCCCAGGAACTGCAAGAATCACATACCACTGGAAACAGATATGGCTCCACACAAAAAGACTGGCTGAGAATGTGAAAAATTTCTGATATGGTTTGGATGTTTGCTCCCTCCAAATCTCATGCTGAAATGTGATTAGTGTTGGAGGTGGGGCCTAGTGGGAGGTGACTGGATCATGGGGGTGGATCCCTCATGAGTGCTTTAGCACCATTCCCTGGGTGATAAGCGAGATCTTGTTCTGAGTTCACGATCTGGTTGTTTAGAAGTGTGTGGCCCCTCCCCACTCTCATTCCCACTCTTGCCATGCGACACAGTCTGCTCCCTCTTTGCCTTCCACTGTGATCAACTGGAAGCTTACTGAGGCCATCAACCAGAAGCAGATACCAATGCCATGCTGCTTGTACAGCTTATAGAACTGTAAGTCAATTAATCCTCTTTTCTTTATAAATTACCTAGCCTCGGGCATTCCTTTATAGCAATGCAAAACTAACACAATCTCCCACCACACGCAGCCTGGCAGAAGCAGGAGTTGTCTCTTCTGTGGAGGCTGAATCCAAGAGGACCTATGCTTAAAGGGCCCAGGAACAACCAAAGGTGGGAATCAGATGCTGTACTGAAAATGAGGGATTAAGTCAAAGTTTATACCCCAAATTATAAGGCCTTCCCTTCCCAGCCCACTTCTACAGCTCTTATCACAGAATTCTGGCAGCAAAGATCACACCCCACAGTGGAATGTGAGATAAGTCTTCTCTGTAGAAACTCAGAACCCAGCAGAAAAGACCTATGGACACTGATATGCTTTAGCTGTGTCCCCGCCCAAATCTCATCTTGAATGGTAGCTCCCATAATTCCCTTGTGTTGTGGGAGGGACCCAATTATCAGAGATCATTGAATCATGGGGGCAGTCTCCCCCATACTGTTCCTGTGGTAGTGAATAAATCCCATGAGATCGGAAGGTTTTATAAGGGGAAACCCCTTTCCCTTGGTTCTCATTCTCTTGTCTTGCCTGCCCCCATGGGAGACGTGCTTTTCACCTTCCGTCATGGATTATGAGGCCTCCCCTGTCACATGGAAATGTAAGTCCATTAAACCTCTTTCTTTTGTAAACTGCCCAGTCTCAGGTGTGTCTTCATCAGCAGCGTGAAAACAGACTAATACGGACACCAACATCTAGGGGTCCCCAAGAAAAAAGAAGGTTTCCAACTGAATCACACAAAGGACAGTCCGGTGTATAAGTCTGACAATACCAGTGCATTCCAGCCAGCTTTTAGGCACCTCACTCTTAAGTATAAACAGCTGGAGATAACCAAGTATTTTAGACAAGCTTCCAACATGAAAGATGGGATCTAACAGTTGAAGAAAAATCTAGAATTACTATCCCAAGAGGAAACTGACAAATGACGAATTATTCTTTACACTGTAAGCTTATTCATCACATTTCCTCCAATTGAGGATGCCTTGGTGTCTAGGAAGGGAGACCCACACAACTTCTCTCTCAACCCACAGTAGCCAGTGTTTTGGGGGCACTACAAGGGAGCTGAATCTCATCTTCCATTCTAGTAAGTAAAGAGATAGAACCTAAATTAGAAAAAGAAATTGCATGTAACACTTTATGGCATGCACTGACTAAATAAGAACTGGAATCCATTTACATTATATAAATGAATTATTTCACAACTTGAAGATAAACTCAAGAAAAAAAGGGTTGAAAATATTTGAAGGCCGGCTGCGGTGACTCACGCCTGTGATACCAACAATTTGGGAGGCTGAGGTGGACGGATCACCTGAGATCAGGAGTTCCAGACGAGCCTGGTCAACATGGTGAAACCCTGTCGCTACTAAAAACAGAAAAGTTAGCTGGGTGTGGTGGCACACGCCTGTAATCCCAGCTACTCAGCAGGCTGAGGCAGGAGAATTGCTTGAACCTGGAAGGCAGAGGTTGCACTGAGCCGAGATCGTGTAACTGCATTCCAGCCTGGGCGACAGAGCGAGACTTTCTCAAAAAAAAAAAAAATTGAAAATGATTATCTTAGGTACGAGGAATTGGCGTGTGGAGGGGCCAGGCAGGGGACAGCCGATTTCCAGTGCAATAAAGTGCTTGATGATATTTTTTTAAATGTTTACATGTGTTACTTTTATTTCAAAATGAAGCCGGCTACGCAACCACAAGTGCAGCGTGATATGACAGTCTTTTAATAAAGGCTAGATGAAAAGAAGAGACACAAAAGTGTTGACGTGGTTATCTTTGAGGGGAGGCATTATAGGCGTCTTACTTTTTGCTTGTATCTTTTTGTTTTTGTTTTCTGCACTGCGCATGTTGCTTTTAAATACACATTTCAAGCGCCTGTGTTTTAGGATGAGCACCACGGGTTCGCTATGGTCTGGATTGATTCCATCCGTGGCCTTTCAGGAATCTGTCGAGAAATGAGTGTGCACCGAGGGAGCTGAGGAGCAAGTGAAGATGACTCTCTCAAGGAATCCATCTGAGGGCCAGGA